TCCTAAGGGGTAACTCATCAAAGTAGAGCCCTCTGGGCGAAAATATTGTCCGTTTTGCTGTAGCTCAAACCGTTCAGGCACTAGATGGTAGTTTTGACGACAGTAAGCAAACAAAGTACAACCGTGTATGCTTAGTCGTGACGGGCCGTTGACAGGCCGTAGGCCCGTATCTTTGTGTACATTTTCCAACTACCCGACTCGGGTGTCAGCGCCACAGGTCAAGGTAGATGTATGCCAGGCGCGTCGCAGCGTAACAGTGTTTCGTGAGATATCGCGAAGCCTGTTACGCGAGACGTGGTCTGGCGTACAACTACCTTGTTTAAAAGCAGAAGGGCGGGCTAAAACCAAGGCGGACAAGCAGAAGAAGAGTGCTGCCAGGGCGGAGGCGTCCAAGAATCAGGCTGCTTGTACAAGCCAATCAAGCTAGGGCGCCGCTGTCAAGGAAGGAAACGACTATGCAAAGACGTAGGGCTCTGGTGAAGTCATACTCTCACATAGCCTAGTAGCGGTAGCCGGCGCAGGACGGGGCGGCGACTTGGCCCCCAGGGACGCTAATAGGGTATTTCGGGTAAGCGAAGCAGCGGAAACGGAACGGCCGAGCGGCTGCTGGATCCGTCTCAGCCTGCGAACTGCGCATGCGCAGTAGACTCCGCGCCGCCCCACCGCCTCTCCCTCTCCCCCGCTCATCAGCAGCAGAGATGCAACCAGCGGTGACCTGGCCGGTTCCGTTTCCGCCGCTCCGCTTACCCGAAATACCCTATTTAGATGGCTCTTCCCCGGATCAGCCGCTATGGTGCTGCTGAGACCTTTGCAGTGTGTAGGCCCTTTGTTGTGCGTTCGGGATTGCAGTGTGACCTAGTCTGACTGTTGGTACCCCCTTTGTATTAGTGAACATTGCTACCAAGGCTAAGAGGGCCTCGCTAGGCCGAGGGCCTACTGGGCGATTGCCCGGCAGCACGGTGGGCCAGTCCGAGCCTAATGATAATTTTAAGTGCCACATATGTCTCGATTCCTAAGGGCAGTTTGAGCTGACGAAGTGTGGCCATGCATATCATTAGCGATGTTTGAAGAGGTGGCAGAAAACCAAGGGTAAAACAGACAAGGCATTTAAAAAATGTCCTTTCTGCAATAAATTTTATGATGAATGTACTAAAATTGATACCTTACTGTTGTTGATCCAGACTCTTTTGTATCTAATTTTTGTCTTACCTTTGACGATATATTTCTCATCTCTGACGTTTTATTCCATATTTTAGACTTCTTAGACTTTTAAAGAAATTGTGTGAGCAATTCAATAGACTACCTGTAGTATGAGGAGTTCGTCGCCCGGAGGAGACGCGAACGCCGATTTTGACTACTGTTAAGGGAGCCTGGGGTCCCATGGCGAACATTTTTTCAAATTGACCCTGACTGCTTATTTTGAACGATATTGTCTATTTCTCGACGTAAGATGTTAGATTGGTCTTTGTTCTTTCTAAAAATACTCATATCGAGTTCATAGCACACTTAATATTAAAATAGAAGAGATTTTAGCAAAGCTCTGCAAAAGCTCATGGAACCCCAGGCCTGGGGTCCAATGAGCCTGCCTTGGGGAAACATGAGCCTTTGCCAATATTA